ATGTTTCATTCTAAATAAAACCCTCTACAACTTGCTCTGCAACTTGTCGCTACTCTTCACTTCCTGAGGAAAACAAATCATGCCACAATGAACTGTTTACGGAAATTCAAACTGTGTCATATGAATGAAATACTAGAAATTATATATCAGCATAGCAAATATTTATACAGGCGTTTCATTCACTGTGGAAGACAACAACATTTAGCATTACAAAGCATTTTTGATTTATTTTTATTTTTGGGCAAGGGGGGCAGTGAGGGGTCAATATGGAATTTATCTAGTCTTCTATTAAGCTATATTTTACAACACAGAATCACAACAAAAATACAAAAATAACAAAAAAATAATCAAAATACACCTTTAAAACTCAAGACATATCACAAAGCTGTGTAACAAAGTCAATGAACATGCAATTAGAAGAATTAACCTTTAACCTGATAGCCTTTGCCTGCACTAGCATAGCCTCAAGCCAGGCAAGCCTGCTCATCTGAGCTGAGTCTGACCAGACTCTATACTGCTAGCCAACTGATTTTAAATTTTCATCTTGATATCTCTAAAGTTAATAATGGACAGTTTCCAACAAGAGCTGTCACAGGAGACAGCGAAGCTCGACTAATAAAATACTGGACGCAGTAAGGAGGACAAAACTATGAAAGAAAAATCAATTATGTATAATTATGTATTAAGTTATAGTAAAAAAACATTTGTTAACATAAATTCCAAGATCAAGGGGAATAATTCTAGAAATAGTCATGCTAGAGTTATGGACCTTGCCACACAACATTTGTGTAATGATAAGAAATATATATTTGAAGTTTGAAGTAGATACCTTAACAAGAGCTGTCACAGGAGACAGCGAAGCTCGACTAATGAAATACTGGACGCAGTAAAGGAGGACAAAACTATGAAAGAAAAATCAATTATGTATAATTATGTATTAAGTTATAGTAAAAAAATAATATTTGTTAACATAAATTCCAAGATCAAGGGGAATAATGCTAGAAATAGTCATGCTAGAGTTATGGACCTTGTCACACAACATTTGTGTAATGATAAGAAACATATATTTGAAGTTTGAAGTAGATACCTTAAAAAGAAAAGAAGCTATTATATTTCTTAAAGAAAATCCTAAGTTCAAAGAGAGATAAATCTGTAAATATTGCATCAAGAGTTATGAACAATGTCACATAAAATGTAATTGTTGATAAGGAATAAGTATTTGAAATTTGAGGTAGATACCTTTAAAAATAAAAAAGTTATAATAAAAAATAATATTTTTCTAGTAAAAAAATCTAAGTTTATGGGGAGATAATTCTTGCAATATTGGTGCTAGAGTTATGAACCTTGTCACATAAGATGTGGATGATGATAACGTAAACATATTTGAAGTATGAAGTTGATCCCTTTAGAAATAAATAAATAACAGTAAAAAAAATATTTTTTATGGAAAATTCTAAGTTTAAAGGGAGATAAATCTGAAAATATTGGTGCTAGAGTTATGAACCTTGTCACATAAGATGGGGATGATGATAACGTAAATACATTTGAAGTATGAGGTTGATCCCTTAAGAAATAAAGAAGAAACAGTAAGAAATAGTACTTTTTGAGGAAAATTCTAAGTTCAAGGGGAGATAAATCTGAAACTATTGGTGCTAGAGTTATGAACCTTGTCACATAAGATGGGGATGATGATAAGGTACATATATTTGAAGTATGAGGTTGATCCCTTAAGAAATAAGGAAGTAACAGTAAAAAATAGTATTTTTTAAGGAAAATTCTAAGTTCAAGGGGAGATAAATCTGAAAATATTGGTGCTAGAGTTATGAACCTTGTCACATATGATGTGGTTGATGATAAGGAACATATATTTGAAGTTTGAAGTTGATACCTTAAGAAATGACAAAGTTATAGTGAAAAATATTTTACTGCACCAAAACTTTAATCTAAAATCTGGACGCGGACGCCAACGCCGACGCCGGGGCGAGTAGGACAGCTCTCCATATACTTCGTATAGTCGAGCTAAAAAGTAAAGAAGTTATTATATTTCTTAAAGAAAATCCTAAGTTCAAAGAGAAATAAATCTGTAAATATTGCTTCAAGAGTTACTGTAAAATCATTATTATTCGTGGGGCACGAATTTTCGTGGTTTTCGTGGGTAGGTCAATCCACGAATTTAAGATCCCACAAAATTTTATCCCAACAATTACTTCTAATCATGTTTCTATTCTATGCATGCGTCGCCGCTTTTCTGTCGATTATTGTGTTATGATGGTATTCAGATAACCAGGTTAGTGACAGATTAAATCTATAAATAGTTAAGGTTTGCAATATTCAAGAAAATTGAAAGCAAAGTATGTGCTGAATTTCAGTCGTATATATACACATCACTGAGACTGCTTAATTGTTGTAGGCTACTTGATTGTGTAATCCAGAATACTTGACATAATCGAGTAAAAATGGGAAACCAGTGCAATAATTAGCGCTAATATAAATTGTCAGTTTGCTCTCATTAATTGTTAATAGAAGTAAAGAAATCTTTGAAATTAATGTCGTAAGTAAAGTACACAAAAAATAATAAACAATCACTAAAACGGATGAATTGTACATCCTTTTGTCGTCTTTAAATGATCCAGTTTAAATTTTAATCTGTAATTATGCGACTGCTATTCCGTAAACATCAAAGACGCTGCCGACTTCATAATATGTCCACACAATCTCGTATTATTCACTCGTATTAATTTATATGCATGTAAATTTACACAGTCGATGTGATGTTGCATGTAGTTACTGTCAAATATAGTAAGACCGATTCGATGTGTAAACTTTTAAACTCGCTGGCTAAAACGTGTCAGGGGTCGTATAAATTATGCAATGTTTACATCGGCGAATCACAGGGGCAGTGTGAACAATAGAGCTGCATATCATGTCATCTAGATGTGTTAATTGCAGTCAATTATCGGCAGTAACTGCTATCTTTATGTTATGCCTAGAGGCAAGGATTAGATTATTGAAAAGCGCTGTGTGATATCACGCGGGAAGGTAAACTTTTTACGGTTAATTAATTTTAAGATTACTTTTCATTAGGTTTTTTCTTCTTTTTTTAACAAGAAAATGAAAATCCACGAATTTAAAAACCCACGAAAATACCGGTTTTGATAAAACCACGAAATTTCATGCCCACGAATATAAGTGAATTCGCAGTATGAACATTGTCACATAAAATGTAATTGATGATAAGGAATAAGTATTTGAAGTTTGAGGTAGATACCTTTAAAAATAAAAAAGTTATAATAAAAAATAACATTTTTCTAGTAAAAAAATCTAAGTTTATGGGGAGATAATTCTTGCAATATTGGTGCAAGAGTTATGAACCTTGTCACATAAGATGTGGATGATGATAACGTAAATATATTTGAAGTATGAAGTTGATCCCTAATGAAATAAATAAGTAACAGTAAAAAATAATATTTTTTATGGAAAATTCTAAGTTCAAAGGGAGATAAATCTGAAAATATTGGTGCTAGAGTTATGAACCTTGTCACATAAGATGGGGGCGATGATAACGTAAATATATTTGAAGTATGAGGTTGATCCCTTTAGAAATAAAGAAGAAACAGTAAGAAATAGTATTTTTTGAGGAAAATTCTAAGTTCAAGGGGAGATAAATCTGAAAATATTGGTGCTAGAGTTATGAACCTTGTCACATAAGATGGGGATGATGATAAGGTACATATATTTGAAGTATGAGGTTGATCCCTTAAGAAATAAAGAAGTAACAGTAAAAAATAGTATTTTTTAAGGAAAATTCTAAGTTCAAGGGGAGATAAATCTAAAAATATCGGTGCTAAAGTTATGAACCTTGTCACATAAGATGTGGTTGATGATAAGGAACATATATTTGAAGTTTGAAGTTGATACCTTAAGAAATGACAAAGTTATAGTGAAAAATATTTTACTGCACCAAAACTTTAATCTAAAATCTGGACGCGGACGCCGACGCCGGGGCGAGTAGGACAGCTCTCCATATACTTCGTACAGTCGAGCTAAAAATGGAAGCTGGACAAGTCCATTTAAGAAATTCAGCAGGTTAAGGGTTAAATGCAACAACTTTGCTATACAAATGACAACAAAAATTCTATTGTGATAACTGATAATAATACTGTTACAATACTGATAAACAATATAACTTAAAATCAACTATTTACTCTTGTTATCATTAATCTGAATGAATAATGAATGATAATGAATAAATGAATGACCGTATACATTTCATTCGCACATGATGAATGTAGTTCAGCGAAATCAGTACCCGAGGGTTCTGACGATGCCTGTGGACGTTACCAGTAATTAAATTCAGTATCTGATATCAATTGCTTTTGAGTTATTATGCTTCCTGAACATTACCAGTACTAAATACCGGTAAGTTCCGTACTGGTGTCATACGACTCAAGAAATGACCAACTTGGAACACTTGAGAAATAAACTGACATATTGTTTTAATACTGTTTAAAAGAAATCTCAGCTCCCATCTCATTTCATCTGAAATCGAGACAAGCCTGGATAGCAATTTCAAGAATTGCCTCAACCTTTACTATTTACAACAAATATGAAAGAAATTGATAGAATAAATAGTAAATGTGTCTAGTGCAATCTTAGTTTGCAATAACTGATTCACATTGATTAGTTTGATCATACAATGTAAATTGTGTCTGGCAAACATTCATCAAATAAACAGTGAACAGACTGGTTTTTCACAATTAATTCTTTGCTTTACATTTATTTCTTTTGTCCCAAATAATCCAGGAGAGAAATATCCGAAGTTATTAACACAGTCAAATTGACTGGAACTTATTTTTAGCACTAAATATATAGAGTGTAAATAGAAATTTTGATTTTGTGAACAAAATAAAATGCAAAGACAACACTTATATAAACGTTGGTACATTGATTGAAAGTTTAAACAAAAGTGACGTGTAAGTTTACAATATCAATTGACCTACTTAATTTTTCTGTAAAGCTGATCGCGTGTCAATTTTCTGTAAAAAGGCAACATTTTTCTACAATATTTTCATACCCATCAGTTACAAGGAACTCCACTGAGGTTTTTTTTTAAAATATGACCGGACTGAACTGGACAGGACTGGAAATACGTTTTCAAGACTTTTATACATATAGATGTAGGTCTATATCATAATTTTGTGTGCCAAATTTCATATCATTCACTCTATTTTTCTAGAATCATCATTGCAAATTGCACTAAATATCAATTTTCAATTTAATACTTGATATATTTTTTTCTAATTGTCTTCCTCATATTTTTCTGTTTTAAGTTACCCTAGTTGACCGAAGATATATTTTCATATATTTTTATTTCAGGCTTTTGGACCTCAGTGGAACTCCTTGAACAACATATTATAATTTCTATGAGACAAGATGAATAATAATGATATATGATATGGGGGAAGTAATCAAAAAATATATTTAATCGAAAATAACTAAATTTTTTGTCTATTACTAATATAAACAAGCATCTTAAAAAACTTAAAATATTTTCTATTAAATAAATCATATCTGAATATATGTATCTAGAAATTGATATACATTTATAAAACTAGAAATGTGTCCCTAGGTCAACAGATGCCCCAAAGTCTTTCCCCTGTTTTGTCTATCTATGGACCTGCAGCCTGACAGCAAGACAGACCAGGGCAAATCTCTATGCCAACCTCCCATGAAGTAGGGGCATAAACAAGAGCTGTCCGTAAGACAGCGCGCTCGACTTTTTTAGTGCTTGCCTATAATACAAAACATTGACAGTTAAGGGCCATAATTCAAATAAAATCTTTGACAGAATTACCTTCTCCTGGACATGTTTGGGAATCATGATTGTAAACAAGTATTCCAACTTTCAAATTAATATCTCAAACAGTTCAGTCAAAAAGTGGACTGGTACTAAAAACTTAACCAAGATTCTAAGTCGATAAAAGGCCTTAATTTTTAAAACAAATCCTTGACAGAGTTACCTTCTCTTGCGTACAGATGGGGGTAATGATGTGAAATAGCATTAAAAGTTTCAAAGCAATATCTCAAAGGGTTAAGGCAATAAGTGGATTTTACCCATATTCAATGTATTTTCTAAGTCAAAAAGGGGCATAATTCTGTCAAAAACCTTGACAGAGTTATGTCCTCTTGTCTGTTGATGAAGGTCGTGATGGTAAACAAGTATGGTCAGTTTCAAAGCAATACCTCCAATGGTTTTGAAATAAAGTGAGGTGGTACAAAAAACTTAACCAAGCTCAATACACTTTCTAAGTCAAAAAAGGGCCATAATTCTGTCAAAAACCTTGACAGAGTTATGTACTCTTGTCTGTAGATGGAGGTTATGATGGTGAACAAGTATGGTAAGTTTCAAAGCCATACTTGTAATACTTCTGAAATAAAGTGGGGTGGTACGAAAAACTTAACCAAGGTGTGACGCCAACGCCGACGCCGACGCCGGGGCGAGTAGGATAGCTCCCCTTTTCATAGAAAAGTCGAGCTAAAAAGTCTCCTCTCATTCATACATTTATTATGAGTAAGAAGCACATGCTTTCAAGCAAGAATTTTATGAATTTTAACAAATATTTAGCCTAAATACCATAATAATGACATTCTCCAGTATAAGAAGGTTGTCTTAATTCGCACTCAAGTCAACTACTTCATTTTGTTATATATAAAGACAAGTTTGATTTTTTAGATGTTTGTGATTATTTACCTAGGATAAGCTTTTAAGTATACAAAACTAATATATAATTCTTTACATTACTTTTTTTCTCAAAACACAGATAAGAAAATCTATAAAACAGTCTCTGCTATAACACTGTATGAAAAATTCCATTATTTAGCTACGAAAACATTGCATCTGACATATAAAAGCACTAAGAGTAAAAAACAAAAATGTGCACATTTGTGAGGCATAAAAGGTGTCAGGCTGCAGGCGGTGGACAATGTAATTATAAGGCAATTAAACAATGCTGGTGAAAATCTTAACTTTGTTAATGAAGCGTGCAAGTAAAGGTCTTATAAAAATCATATGTAATCAAAAACTCTCTAAAGTTCATTAAAAAATTTTTTCATCATTGCGTCAATCAATTCAATTGATTTAGACTGTTTGCTTTAATATGTTCAACGTTGAAAACAGAATTCAATATTTTTGACAACTTTCATATAGAAATTTGAAATACAAAAGCAAAATGACAGTCGCCATGGGAGTACAGCTATATTAGATATAAAATCCATAAAATGCAAAATATCCAGCTAAAATGTCTATTAGTAGAAATAGTGCAGATTATAACGTTGAAAAGTTTATGATAATCCCCAATTCGCAGGTGCAATAACACATCGAAAAAGCTTTTGACAAAATGTAGCGCAAAGTATAAATATTACATACTTGAGAGATTCTTCAATGGACAGCTCATCTTCCTCAGCTTTCTGGCGAGCGAGACGTTCTTGTTCAGCTCGCTCTTGTCGTAATCGTTCCTCCTCGATACGTTTGATCTCGCGCAGTTTGGCTGCCAGCTGACGAGCCTGCATTCCACGTACCTGAGACTGAAAACAAATTATTGTGTTGTTAATTGAGACTTCACAATGCTATCTACCAAAAACAAAGACAGATACTAATACACATCAACTATAGTCAGAAGAAAGAAAAAAAGAAAATCTTAGTCATTCAGGTTTAAACCTGATACAGGTCTGAATTCCTATAATTAAACTCAAATGAATGTTTTTTGTCAAAAATTAAAGTAAGCACACGTATTCAAACAAATAACTAATTGGAACACTGATGTATCAAAGCCTATTTCTTACATTAACAAAAGCCATGAAATCAACCCAAAGAGAGAAAATAACACAAAAGAGCAATCCATACAGCAAGGAAACAGATGAAAGTTTTATACAATTTATATGACCGTTCTATTTCATTGTATATCACCATAGACCAAAATATTTCCATCAAAAGACGGAAAATGTCTCTACATTTACATAAAACAGCAGTTATACTTGATATTTCTATTCTACAGAAAACTAACATATTCTGATGGATGAATTCCCAGTCGGCTTCTAATAATCTGTATAAATGGGCATACGTCTGCTGTGAGGCAATTTTAACTAATAAAACACAATGTTGTGATATGTCGGGAAAACGAGTATCAACTCTTTGAACTCTATTGGTGATAATGATGTTCTTTTGTCATTGGGGATAATGATTTGTTTTTGTCATTGGGGATAATTTTTTTGCTTTTAATTGTCACTGGAGATAATTTTATTGGTCAGGATTTACCCCACATTAACACAGTATAGCTTATATGGTGTCTTTCCAGCTTTAATGGAGGAGGCAGACCTGAGGTGCCCCTTTGTGCATTATTTCTGGCACCTGAGTAGAACCACCAACATTCTGTTCTGTAAGCTAGCTGGGTAGTTTTCTCACATGAAAGAACCAATGTTACCTCGCTCTGATAATGACATGTCTATGACAAAGGTGATAATTATTATTGTATGCGTCATTGGTGGTTATAGCTTGCCTATTTCTTTGGTAATAATAAACTGTTGCCTGCTCAATTAAACCTATATATCTTAAAATCCCTTAAAATATCAAAGGATGTTTCATATTCAAGTAGGGCAAATCATTAAGTTTCTCTAAAACTGCATGGTAAATAGGGCTTACTTTTGACTGAAATACTTAAAATTGATGCTCTGTCTTCTGAAAAACATCAAAATGATTTTCTTAAAACATTCTTTTCCTACAGAAGATTACTGTTTGCAGAATATTTGTTTTTGTCATGTAAAATTGAAAAAAATTGTATATCAAATGGAATGAAATTGACCTATTTAAAGTACAAAAGCCGTCCAATTCAGGAAGAAAACAGGTCATTGGAGACTTATAGATCATTTATGTCTACAAATGTACATATTTATGTCATACAATAGACAGTATAGATAAAATACACAAGATGTTTTGCATATTCCTGTGATGTATAGCAGTTATCCCTGCTGTTGGTTTAATTATGTCATCATGTGATATATAGCCAATTATAAATCTGTCTTGCTGTTATATATAACCAATTATAATTCTATAACATTGTCTTTATGTTATACATAACTAATTATAATTCTGTAATTCTCTCTTTATGTTATATATAACCAATTATAATTCTGTCTTTATGTTATATATAACCAATTATAATTCTGTAATTCTGTCTTTATGTTATACATAACCAATAATAATTCTAAAATTCTGTCTTTATTTTACATATAACCAATTATAATTCTAAAATTCTGCCTTTATTTTATATATAACCATTTTTATTCTATAATTTTGTCTTTATGTTACATATAACCAATTATAATTCTGTAATTCTGTCTTTATGTTATATATAACCAATTATAATTCTGTAATTCTGTCTTAACGTTATACATAACCAATTATAATTCTGTAATTCTGTCTGTATGTTATATATAACCATTTATAATTCTGTAATTCTATCTTTATGTTATATATAACCAATTATAATTCTGTAATTCTGTCTTTATGATATATATAACCAATTATAATTCTAAAATTCTGTCATTATTATATATATAACCAATTTTAATTCTATAATTCTGTCTTCATGTTATATATAACCAATTTATATAATTCCATAATTCAGTCTTTATGTTTATATAGTACCAATTATAATTCTATAATTCTGTCTTCATATTAAACTATATTACCTAATTACACACCTGTCTTATTATGTTAAATATAACCAATCACAATTTTGCTTTTATGTCTTATATAATTTATCATAATTCTGTCTTGCGATATATAGCAAATTATAATTTCTGTTTTTATGTTATATAATCAACTATAATTCTGCCTTTATATTATGCAAAATTTACTATGATTCTGTCTTAATGAATAGTAATTCTGCCGTTATATATGATTTAACAAAAGAAGGAAAAAAGACAAAATAGAAATGTATCCAAAGGAAATGGATGTCCCCATATTCACCCATTTAGTCAGTTTTTGGATTGACAGTGTGACAGCAGGTCATTGACATTGGCAATTCTCGATATGCCACCTCCCCGTCAGTTCAGGTTTTTTTTGTACCATGCGTTTCTTCTTTTTTGTCCTATTTCTAAGCTTAATGACACTGAACTATTTATTATTTCTGTGGATTACAAAAAAAGTGCAATTTTTTGGGATCTGTATTATTTATAGTTCTAAAAATAGAAAATCATAAATCCTCCAAATCTATTTTTTTCGTATTCTCAAATCAGAAAAGAAACAACAACGACAAAACTAATCAAGTTCGTTTTTCATTTTCTAAGAATTTCTATTAGAAACAATGATATGTTTTATGGAAATTGCTTTGTTACGAATATGTTGTAAATGAAGTAGGTCACCGTACAACAATAACTTATTTCCTTTCCCCCATACTCAAATTAATTAATTGAGATATGAGATTGGGTTCTGATGAAAACTATAATGAACAAAGTTTGTCGTCTGCTGCGATCGCCCCCATTCATCATATCTTTTGTTACAATATGGAACATTTTGTATCTGCCTCATTCTCTTCCCCAATTAACTTAAATCATTTATTTGAATTAAGTTTAATTATAAAGTTGATATAAATATTTTATGACTTGTGAAATATTTTTATTTTTCCCTGCGATAATTAATATCCAGAACTACAGTTATTAGGCCAAAGTGATCATTAAATTTTTTTCTATAATCAATTAAGCATCGTGAAAAAGTACAATTGCCAAAAAATGGAAAATAATCATCTGGTGTTTATTAAGAGAATTTTTCCATTTTTTTTTTTTACAAATCAAGATTTCCATTTTCATGTAAAGATTTCCGCCTTTATGTATAAATTTCTGCCTAAAATTAATCCTATTTTCTATGTTTTCAACAATGCTAAAACAGACTTTCTGTCTAGAACAAAATGCCTCTATTTACCAATTTTTCTGCCAAATTATCCCATTGTTGCTTCAATATGGGCCAGTTTATATAACCTTCGTTCCCGAGTAAATATTTATAAGATCATTTGTATAAATTTGTACTATTCTTCAGAATGGAAACCAGAAAAAAATGAAAAAACAACATTTCTGATCCTACTATAAGAATGTCCTTTGATTAGATAAAAAATAAGAGCAAATTTGGAAAGTCCAAAATATGGTGAGATGTTAAGAATAATGAAACTGGAACTTATTGGACAAAAAATTTTCTTTTAATTGGTGGGATTAGTATAAAACTTAAAACACAACATTTGCATGCTTTCAATTATTTCTGTTTTGTTTTAAATATTTTTTTTATATATTTTGTGTGAATATAGACAAATGGTCAGGTAGAAAGAGTGGTTCTCTATGCCACCATACTACCTCCCTTCCCCACCTCTCTTTATTACACTCAAAGCAATGAAATTCAAAACACAATTAAGCAGTCACCAGAAACCAAAATGATTAAGTTCTCAATTTTTTAAAGCCTCAATTCCCATATAAAGATGTATATCAGACAACACAATATAAAAGTAATTTAAATCAATTTTACCCCAAACACTAATGTCGATGCATTGTTATATATAGTGCTTCAATCACGAATTTGTCCAGAATTATATGTATGTATGTAACTCAATAAGAGTTCAAGTACCCATTTTCTTAAGAGAAGAATTGTCATACATCTCACAAGTCTTACAAGTATCCCTTTTCCTCAGAGAAGAATTAAATCGTAATTGTCACACACACGTCTTATAAATCTGTGCTGACCCAGAATCGTATATAGGTCAATCCTATTCAGGCAGTGATACTAACAAATCATTTACACAAACTTATACAATAATATCATATGACAATAAGATTTGTCATAATTTTGTCATTGTCAACAAACAGGAACATTCTGGTATTCCAGATATTGGACATTCCGCCATTGTCATGGACGCAAATTATTATATTCAATTGTTATCATGGAAAAAATTCAACAAAAGTTTTTTTCTGCCTTATAATATTAATTCATCAAAACTAAAAGTCTGTCCGTGTGACACAAACTCTTTCTTTTTTATTCATTTTGCTTGTTTGTTGTTTGGTTATGTTTCTGTTTTGCTACAAAGTGCCTACAATAAAAGCTTTTCATTTTTTATCAGTAACTTCAAAAAAGATGTACTTCTGCCAAAGTTACATTATAATTTAAATAAATTAAACATAATAAGAGTAACTGGTATTAATTTCACATTTAAACCCAAGCTTTCAGTATTTTTTTAATTTACCAGGCCTAGTAAATTTAGAACTGTCCAATATTGTTTATTTTAAGGGACTTATTTATCAAAATATGAGTTCAATTATTGTTTATTTTAAGCTATCAAAATACAAACATTCAGACATCAGAAATATTAAATCTTGTCAGACTGTAATGTTAGACAGAAGGAATTACGGGAGCGATGGTCAAACAGAAATTTAAAATACTCATTTGAAATATTTAGGTAAAATTTCAAGGAGCATTAGAAATGTAAAACACAAATTTCTCATCCATTCTTTTTCGAATATAATCTCAAAACAGCTTTATCTGTGGATACAGCTAAGAAAAGCAGCGGAAAATATAACAGCGCAAAAAAAGGCGAATTGAAAAACCAACAGAATCTAACTGCTCGTCAATCATAAAGATATTGAATTAGACAATGCCTGTGAACTGACAGTAACACTAACTCATCTTTACTATCTATTTATAGGCTGTTAAAACCCATGAATAGTAATGAATTGATAGGAATCTCCAGGGGAAACCTCACAGCACAACAATATCTCCCTTCTATGGACAAGTTTTAAAGAAAACAAGCTAAATTAATTTAAAGCTTATCTGGCGGTAATGAAAAAGTGTGAGTGTGTGTTTTTTTTATTTTATTTTGAAAGGCAACCAGCTAAATTTTGGTTGTTGTTTTTTTTAAGGGAGAGGAGAGGGGGGGGGGGGATAAATATTTTGATGTAAAGAGTTTCATTTATTTCAGAATTTATATTTCAGATTTATGTAATATTTCAAAACATTTTCTTCTTTATATTTTGGAAAATTAATTTTGTCAGATGGAAAATATGCATGTAAAAATTATATGAAAGAAAATTGATTTGCAGTAGCGAAATTTTGTTTCAAGTCATTAATCTTGGGATTTTTGTCGAGATCACTTAATATTCAATTTAACTTATACTCATAATAAAATATCAAAATGGTTTTGACAGAATACTCTTGAGATATAAGAATCCAGTTTCTGATGGGATTCAAGCCCACAGTGGTTAGGAGGCCAGTTGTTTAAGTCAATGACCTAAAAACTCAGCCATGTACGCCCCAATATAAAGCCTTCAGAATGTGTAAATTTATAATAAGCAAGTATAATCATAAACAAGAGGGCCATGATGGCCCTGAAGTCGCTCACCTGTATATAGGCCCCCAGAGCGGGGCCAGTTTAAACCCCAGGGTTGAACAAACTTGGTAGACACCCATTAGAAGATGTTTCATGCTAAATATCTTAGCTCTAGCTCTTTGGGTTCTTTAAAAGAATTTTTTTTAAGTTTTTACTATATGCATATAGGGAAAATCAATGACCCCCTGGGGCGGGGCCAATTTTGACCCCAGGACTTTTATTTGAACAAACTTGGTAGACACTCATTAGAAGATGTTTCATGCTTAATATCTTAGCTTTAGTTCTTTGGGTTCTTAAAAAGAAGATTTTTTTAAGTTTTTACTATATGCATATAGGGAAAATCAATGACCCCCTGGGGCGGAGCCAATTTTGACCCCAGGGCTTTTATTTGAACAATCTTGGTAGACACTCGCTAGAAAATGTTTCATGCCAAATATCTAAGCTCTAGCTCTTTGGGATTTTTAGAAAAAGATGTTTAAAGTTTTTTCTTTTGGTTGCCATGGCAACCAGAGTTCTGCATGGAATGGAATTCTTTGAACAACTTTGTTAAGGCTTCACACAAGGAACATCCCTGTGAAGTTTCATTATGATCTGCCTTATGGTTTCAGAGGAGATGTCGTTTGAAAAGTGTGAACGGACAAAGGACGACGGACGACAGACGACGGACGAAGAGTGATCCTAATAGCTCACCCTGAGCATATGCTCAGGTGAGCTAAAAACTTAAAATTTTATCATTTATTACAGTAAAATCTGATTTTTTATAAAATACACCCCCCCCCCCCCCATCTTGGTACGATAATATGAAAATTGGGTAATTTATAGAAAATGGACTTACAGAAGTAATTGATAAAATTTCAGTAAGAAAAGTGTAATTGTTAAGCAACAACTGCAGGTCATTTACCTTACACACATTTCTTTATTACACATTTTCAAGATTTTAAACAGATTAAAGATCATTTAATTACGTTTTTTTTAACGGATTAAGAAGGAATATAAATGCGAGAACAGGTCTTTTGCTTGTTGATTCTACCTGTATAGTTTTAAGGGAATATATAATTCTATAACTGACCAGAGATTTGCTCAAGTTCCATAATAAATATTATTTTGTAATTACTACCAGATAAATACTATAAGAAATGAGACATTTCCTGAAATCAAGTCTTTTATATAATTCCCGACCATGACGACAGATAAATAAGCTAGATAATAAAATAATATAATACACAGACAAAGTCAATAATTTGTTAACCGAAGGAAGTATTTCCGATTGTAACCATATGTATTTCCGCAGTGTAACGTTACTACTTACGCAGACAAATTTCTTCCGCACACAAATCTTAATTCAATTGTCTGCCGCAAAAGAAAAAGAAAAGAATACTCAACTACATAATGTTCAATCCGTTTTTCCTCGGAAATATTGCATCAGTAGCCTGATTCCATTCATCACCAGGGCGAGGATTATTTGCAGAAGTTGAGTGCTAATTAAATTGACCTTTTACAAAACGCCAGACGATTTGTACCATCATAACACAATAATTACTGGAATAAGTCGGGTTTTAAGAACGAATAAGAATTGCCCCGGTTGATTGATGTGTTCAACTTCTATGAATTGCGGATTTGATTTGCCAAGTATTTTCTAATCCAAATGTTTCGATGGATTCCGTATGTTCAGATGATTAATTCTTATTTATAAGTTTTTCAAAATAATTTTTGGAAAACTTCCTAGACATATTTTCTTTCAACTTCACAAGAAATAAATGGATTTCAGTGAAGAGAATGATGGAAGTAACGTTTTATAATGTTTACAAATTACAAATGATTTTCTTAGAAAAAAACAAACAAAAAAAACCAACTAAATAATAGGAATGGATCATGCCCATATCTGATACTTCATGTAAAAGTTCATTGACATCTAGATTATATAGATATTTTCTAGAACAACATTCTTCATAGATCTATATAATAATTGTATATCTATATATATTTCCATTTGGGGAATAACAACAATCTTATAAAACTCAACTGATTTACAGACAGATACACAAAGAGCAAACATTAATCATATAGCAATTTATTATAATAAACATTAGAATTTATTATTTCTAAAATTTGTATATTAAATAAGTTTTCTTTTGGTGCCTTTCCAACTTTTATTTTGTAATGGTTACCCAGGGGTGTTCCAACTTAACCTGTGGAAAAAGACCCAAGGTCCTTCACAATGCAATATTTAGGTGGGCCGGTCTGCAGTTGAGCATAGCCACCACTCTTCTACCCTGAGTATATTCATGAAAGAATCCAAGTCTATGGCGGAAGTAAGATGTACAGCAGTGAGGGCAAAGTGATACAAAGTTTGCAACCATTACCACTCAGCTATAAAGGCACCCAAATTAAAACACATAACTGAGAATTTTGTTTAAGATTTTCGAAACTTTCAATTGATGGACACATCTTTTTCCATATACAGTCTACAGTGGGTCGTATAACACAAGACCTACAATTACCTGAATCAAAATGGCCGCCTTCCTCTTTCTTCTGAAGACGATACGATGTCTGAAGGCCTTATACGCTGTCTGTATAATAATGGTGGCTTCTCGTAACTGCTGGTAATCTATCAATACATAAAATATATATCTTTCTAGTGTTTGTTCAATAATTGAATCTCAATAAAAATTATTCTGCAATACTACTTCAAACATGCAATCCCCATACTGTATTTAATTACTTAGATCTTTTCAGCGTTTTTTCGCTTATCCTGCTTATTACACACATGGCATTCATATTTTCTTCAATAATTAACTCTGTTTCACAATTTAAAGTATTTTGTTTCCTATTCACCATATATTCATTATTAACATCACTTGCTGGCCTTACCTCTGCGCTTGACAAATCCTCTCCAAATTTTCTGTATAATCAAAGCTTTCAATCTCAGGAACTCCACCCTTCTCTCTTCAAGTGGTTCAAACACCGAATTCCTCAAAAACACCTGAAAAAAAAAAAACAACCAGAAAATTGTTTTATTACATAAGATGATAAAGAACTATGTTCTGAACTTATTGTCTGGTTAAATTACTGCAACAGAAAGGTCTATAGTATGTTTATTAATATAGGACAGTTGCTTATAAACTCTCCGAACACTGCCTCGATAAAATACGAAAAACACCTGCGACATATTCACTGATGGCAACGTGCAACTAACATCAAATCCAAGAAAAATAGCATTAACCCTGTCCATGCTAAATATCTTAAAAAGACTTGTCCATTTTTCAAACCGGACGAAACCATTCATCATTTTTTTGCGGGAAAAGTTCAAAATATGAAATGACTGAACAGTGCAGACTGCATAAGAATGGTATGGGTAACACAACCAATCAGATATTGAATCAAAATTATTCATCTTTCTTTCTAAGCTGAATTTTGTGAACAAAATATTCCATTCATTCTCTTATTTTTGTGACTACAAGAGCAAAAAGTTCAAATGGGTGAAATGTCTACTCAATTATTAAGACAACAAAAATGTAAAATTTAGATTAAACTACATTTCTGATGTAAAACTATATTTTTTTTTTCTATAATTTTTCTGATAAATGAATAAATAGCAGACATACAGTAAGACATATTTACAGGAGCTCAAGGGAAAAACAAACAAGAAAATATAATCATAAATCATATGGCAAAGTTACAAGATATAAATTCATAAAACCATTTGCCAATTTACTATAAATACATTTGTCTCAAAACTTTTTTCACAATAAAAATCCAAAATATCTTAAAATAGAAATTTAAATAAGCGTAGTTCACGAGTTCAATGTTATTCATCTAGAAATGATAATCAGAAGGTAATCAGTGTGACGCCACCTCAAAGATTAATTACGACACCACTTTCAGACACGGCACGGTTTTAGTCCTCGACCAATTAAGGTTTGACTCCAAAATTACTACTCATGCCGTAAAGCCGTCTTGTTTCTTATTGGACATTCTCCGTAATGATGGCATTAAGTCAATAAAAGAAAATTAATTACATCAAACTGCAATAAAACCATGTTACTATAAATAGATCCATAGCCGATTCAGCACATGTGATCTAAATGGAAGATAGAAGTCTATTTTTACAAGATGGAACTAGAGCTCAGATTTTACTGTGTTGTAAAATAAGTTTATTATTTTTTTATGACAATGTAATTACAATCTTTAATTAAATTGCATAAAAAAAGTTTTTTGATGATTCTGAAATTTCTGTCTAAGCCCACGCAACTTCAATAATCTACGATTTTCGTAACTTTAAGGTAATTGTCGTGTTTTTCATCCAAAGAGCTTTTATAACAAGGAAATTTAGCATGTGTGGGTTTATTTAACTATTGAGAACATTAGTCTATTGATTCAGGGAACCCATGAGTCTGTCAAAATACACTATGTCAGGCATGTGTAGGCACTTGAAATTTTTAAAACCATCTTCCCTCTCATTTCCTAGCTGGATTATTCCCCAACTTTCAACAATTCAACAGAATTTTAAAACAAAATTTAAATCATCAGTACGAAATGATTTCAAGTAGGAGACTCCAGTAAGCCCCAATTTTTGTTATGGTATTTATTTTATTGTGTTTTACTGAGCAGAAACACCACATAAAGTAAGTTTATTCAAATTTATTTCAGGAAGCTATAAGATTATTGAAACACACTCGAACCAACCAAAAGTTCTTGAATGGGTAAACTATTCTCATCAAATATTACTAATATAGTATGTATATATTTCATAAAAAAAACGTATTTTTACAGTACAGCTCGGAATATCAAATTACTAACTCATAATTACACAGAACATTATACAGCTACAAATAGTAAACAACAATTCCTATATAACTTTATAGTCACAGAAAGTATTTAATTTCCCCATCTTCACTGTAGATACATTGTGTCTAAAATGTATTATAAAGGGTAAAACAGAATTTATGCGTACAATGATACTGTGGAAAATCTAATTTGTTTGCAATAATGCCGTCTGCTTCGTGGAATACAATGACGTTTTATTGCTTCAGTATTAAGATATACTGTCAACCCCTTTCTTGTTTTCCGATTGAATTGATATCAAGGAAATATGTTCAAATAGATTCCAATATAAAATTCAGACAAATTAACTTTTATCGGAAAATTTAAAACTTTTGAGGTACTTTTGTATCGCATTGCATATGTTGGTACATTTTTGTATTTAAGAGGCACTGAATCCTGGCTAATATATAAATGCCATTATGTGTACATTAACCCTTTACTTTGCTGAACTGCTTTCATAGACTTCTTAGACTTTCATTTTTAATCAGTCCTGTATCAGGGATAACATGTTGTAAAAAGTAAGTCAGTCTGGTCTAACAGCATAGATGTGCAAGCCGCCCTGCCTCAGGGGAAATGACATCTAATATAGAGAATATGACATCAAAGATAGGGAATATAAGATCAGAGACATGGCCTATGCCATCAAAGACAGGAAATATGACATCGAGGATAGGAAACATGACATCAAAATTAGGGAATATGCCATCAAAGACATGACATGTGACATCAAAGATGAGGAATATGCCATCAAAGATAGGGAATATACCATCAAAGATAGGGAATATGACATCAAAGATAGGGAATATGACATCAAAGACATGACATGTGACATCAAAGACAGGGAATATGACATCAAAGATCTGGAATATGACATCAAAGACATGACATGTGACATCAAAGATAGGGAATATGACATCGAAGACATGACATGTTGCATCAAAGATAGGGAATATGACATTGTAGACAGGAAACATGAAGGACAAGAAATGTTTTCAAAGACAGGGAGCATGAAATTAATTAAAGACATGGAAAAAGAACAAAACTAAGAAAGGAATAAAAATATAAAATGTGTTTTAAGTTATATTTTACAACAAAAAAATAAAAATAAATGGAATTTAAGCAACAATATCTTTTTTATCAGTATTGAAAACAATCAAGGGGAAGGGTTGCCTAGAACTTTAGGTGTCTTCGTCTTAAAATAATGTAGATTCTAGCTCTACTAAGTTAACCAACATGCTCCTTATTTGGTTAAGTTCAAGGAAGTGGACTCGAGAGTGGTTCATTAATAAGCCTTCACTACAACTGAGCTAGAATATATAAGTTTCAACTTATACAGTAAGATAATACAAATGAGGCCTTCTTTCTATAAACTCTATGCAACATTTCCTGCATGATTTGCATAACTGACATGTAAATTATGTAAATATGTAAATATGACCACATGCACTTGGGTCACTAACAGTACAGTTTAGATTTTTCCTGCCATCATTAATTTTGCTCAATTTTGTTCCAGTTTAGTTTATGGTGCATCATCAATCAAAGGAATAACAGATGAGCAATCAATTTTGCAATCAGAAATGTGTCTTCATTGGGGTTACATAAACATTCGTAAAATAAGTAGAATTTATATTTGCTTTGAGAGATGATAGAGAATAATTCCTTCCATAACATATGGAAATATTGCTTCTGTTTGTTGAGTTTTTCGGTAAAAATGCTACTGTAAAGGTTTTTATGGCGACTTTCCAGAAATACTGGTAGAGGAAAACCTCAGGTGACCCTTTACACATTATTTTATGTACCAAGTGCAAGACATGAGTATTTAAATAGCCAAACTTCTATAAGGTGAATAGCTTTCAATGTAAGGTTCCTGGTGGGAGTTGAACCTTCAGCCATGAGGGACAAGCGATTTGAAGTCAACTACCAAAAGTACTTGACTACAGAAGCATCTTTAACCATCCTCAACTGACATTAAGATATTATGTTCTCATGCAGTAACACAGTGAAGATTATTTGTTGACATAAGAATTATTTATATGTATGACGTAAATAATTTTTTACGCTATCTTGTGCGGGCCATCACCACCCGCACAATTAACTCAAGACAATGAAAACATAAATTTACGATAGTGAATAGTCAAAATATTACGAAACCACGATGGTGAAAAGTCAAAAGTATGTTGATGAAAAGTTAAAAATATGTTACAGGAACCAGTGCAAAAAAAGTCAGTAGTAAAAGATACTGTTAACAAGGGATCAAGGCATGTTTGAGAGGAGAATCTCATCATTGTCTAATAAATGCTGCCAATACTAATGAATTTATTTCCCCCTGCCTGACCACACATCATCCAATAATTAAAGTCCCACAAGACACATTGTTTCTCTAGATTAAATTATCAACAACACACTTTTTGTTTCAAAACCCTCAGATATCCTCATAGTTTTATGCCCTGTGCTATCATTAGGTTAAATGCTGCAAAATAATAAAGTTGATTCACATTTTATATAGAGCTTGATAAGTAATTCTCATATAAAAAGAATCCAATTTTAGAAAACAATGAAACTAATAATTTTCTAAATCATATTTTTTAAACCGAGCTGGTAACAATGAAAAACTGGCAGACGCAATTATTCAATAAACTGTCACATTTTTTGCCACATAAATTTCTAAAAGTTTCTATTACATTTTGATTGAGAAAGAACAAAAAGAAATAATTCTCTCTAATTTTCTTTTGTCTGTCAGATAACGGTTTCCGTGGCAATAATTTTAACTATTTAATAGACAGACTGTCGTAGCCTGTATTTATTGTCATGTGAAATTATCAGACATAGACAGCTAACTGACGGATCAGTGGAAGTTAAAACACCATAACAATTCTGTTCTATAATGTTGAATTCATTATTTGCTAATATATATTTTTTTAAGTTCAACAGACTTTGTTTTGTTACAGGTGTTAATGAAACTTTCTAGCTTCTTCAGTAAGGCAAGGCCCTATAATCCTCATTGATCTGCACAATTACAATGTATTTAAAGCACCAGAGGGCAGCTGCGTTGGTTAAACTGTCCGCAAGTTAGCTAAAAAACCTTTCATTAAAAGGATTAATCAGGAAAAACAGTGTTAGGGAATGATCTGAAAATTTGTAAGCAAGTTATTGGTTCCGACCAACATCAAAATATTCACAAATCTTAGAAAAATATTTACAGTCCTGTCAGTTCAAAAAACCTCAGTGGAGTCCCTTTAAAATTAAAAAAAATGTTTACAAAGAAGAATTGTTTTGTTCTGATTGAAAGATATTAAAGTCCATTTAAGATATCTCAAGTGGTATGGGGTTAATTATAAATAGCTGCAATAATGACTTGTCCATGCCCACTAAAGTCGGTTGGTTTCTGAACTGTAATTTTTTTTTACCAAACGTCACTTACATAAGTATTCGAAGCAGGAAAATTTCATTAAAGACATTCAGCATTGTAACTGGTTTTTTTTAACATTATTTTTTTTTTTAGTTATTTCAGTAAATATTTTTAAATAAACATTATGTGACAGCATTTGAAGTGAAAACACTTATGAACCAAACACACTCGTACAAAATAACAGCAAAGATATTGTCTCATTTTCCTTAGCCAATTAAAAATGATTCCCTGTATTAGTACAAAGGAAAACATGAAGATAAATTTCTCTTCTTGCGATTTATTACCAAACAAAACATCATTAAAGACCGTCAAAGTTTTATTGCCAACGTAACAAAACCGGCACAAATCTATCAATGTTTCGAATTCTCTTTACATTTTTACGACTTGTTTGCATGTTAAATATAATTGCCTTCACTTCAACTGTCCTGCGAGACATTCTAGTTCTAATCTTATAATATAAAACAAACATTGCCGTTCTATGACCAATTTTCACGATGAAAACAAAATCAACATAATTCTTAGTCGAATCCCAAGGCCTTGAAAGTACAAACATTACAACCGAATAATTATGTTTTCTTTGAAACCGATTCTTTTTAATGATTTCTTACGTTGGTTTTGAGTGATTATAGTTTAAATTTTCAAGAAATTTATATAAAATTTTGTGAAACAAAACTTCTGAAAAGAATAAGTTATATAACTCAATCTACCATACTAAGTCATGCTTTATTAACCTTGTACTAATGTTTCCATACAGGTAATTGTAGAAAAGTCTTAGAAGGGAAATCACTTTTAACAAAACAAATGATTACCATATAAAAATAATTGAAAGTTTTGAAAGCAAATGATCATCGTATTTTATATGATTTGAAAAGCCACTTTTACTAAAAAGAAATAAAAGGATAATAAACTTCAGAAAAAGTAAGAAAAACCACCAAGATTTTACATGGTCACAATCAACACATAATTATATCCATAGCTCACCTTAGTTTTGCCCACTTGCCAATCGGTCATTGGCAAATTGAGTTCATTTAGAATGACCATGACATCTGACCTTGGATCTTCACTGGTTGACTTCTGATTCAACAAACAAGCATATTTCTCAAGGAACGTTTCCAAGGAGACATGCACTGGATAACCCTGGTAAATAACAAAACAAAAAAGTTTACATGCGGTTAAAAAGGTAAAACAGAAAGTGTATTTAAAGTGGCCTCCAGCTTTTATTTTCTGTTGGAAATACAACTCTGTGTTGTTTCAAACTAAGTATTTTAGTAGTTTTATCTTGGAAAAGTGTATCATATCACTGTTAAGCCTTCTTAGAAACAGTGCCCCAAAAGCTATTTATAACGTGTCAGTGTCGTTTGTTTCTAAAAATAGAAGATCTTGAAACATATTGTCCCCTTAAGTGATTTAAATATAGAGAGCGGGCCCGGTAGATTAGAGGTATCAAGAGGTTTCCTGATATTTTAAGCATTTTATCTTAGGTTAATTTCATTTTCCTCCTTAGTTCTTTTGATTTGACATATATATGAAATGATTTATCTAAAAATATCATATTTAACCTTTAGAAAAGCTAAATGCCGCTTTAAAAGTTTTAGTCCTGGTGTCTACCAAATTCTTGCTGTGATTTTGAAACTGCCACATAGTAAATTCAGGGTTATCAAATCAATAAACTTAAAATTAAATAGCTGAACATTAGCATTTTTTTCTTTTTATTTTCATATAATTATGTGCCACCTATTCTTGCTCTACCCTTAATCAAAATATTGTACAATCAGAATTTTTGTACTTCCAAAATTATATGAAAATAATAAAAATTTCGGACCGATAGGCGAGGTTAAAGATATTTGCGGTTTTCTAATTTTAGTTCTGTTAAATTTATATATGAAACTTAAATACTTAGCAAATTAGCAAAAATTTAATTCCACAATAATACTCAACTCCCAAATTTAATCCGTACTTACAAACTAGATAAACAAGTTATTGGCCGGAAACCACTTTTCTATTTTAAGTAACAGTGACCTTGACCTTGCCCTAGGGGGTCCAAAAGCAATACATAAGGTTGATAATTATATACCATGTTTGATTACTATACCTCATTCCAAACTAAAGTTATCATCCCGAAACCATGAAAGAGACCAACCAACTGACAAGCTGACTACTGTGGGGGGTATAATCAGTCGCTGCCAAATGTTTGTATGATGCTAAAAGTCAATACTAATTAGCAATTGAAATCTATTCGGAATTAAATGGCCAATGGAACATTTATTGTTCCCATGGGTAAATCTGTTTAAGAAATGGGCCTGAAATCTTTACCTAACAAGAAACATTCTTCTCTCATTTGTGCAACTGATAGGTTAAATATAGCTTCAATAATTTCCCTGGACACCAACGGATGTTTACCCTATACATTTTGTTATCAGTTTAACAAAATTGAAAGATGTATATCAAGATTTTATTAACATAACAAGAGCCACCGCCGGGCGGGGGCAACGCTCGACTTTTTACTTTTTCTAAACGCAAACATAGAAAGGTTTGAACATATATTAACGTTTCCTTTTTATAAATTTAGTTTGTCTGTCTTGTCACATTAGTTTTCTTTATATATTTTGTATATATATGAATAGAAACATTAAGCATATTTCTAAAAATAGCAACAGTACGCAATTTCTTAAAATAGCAACATGACGCAATTTCTCAATATAGAAAAAATGACGCAATTTCTAAAAATACAAAAAATGACATAATTTCTAAAAATAAAAAAGTGATGCAATTTCTAAAAAATAGCAACAATGATGCAATTTTCTAAAAATAGAAAAATTGACGCAATTTCTAAAAATAGAAAAAATGAAGCAATTTCTAAAAAAAGAAAAAAAATGTCGCAATTTCTAGATATACTAAAATAGAAATTATGACGCAATATCTAAAAATAGAAATTATGATGCAATTTCTAAAAGTAGAAAAAATGACGCAATTTCTAAAAATAGCACCAATGACGCAATTTCTAAAAATAGAAATTATGAACGCAATTTTCTAAAAATAGAAATTATGACGCAATTTCTAAAAAAATGACGCAATTTCTAAAAATAGCACCAATGACGCAATTTCTAAAAATAGAAAAAATGACGCAATTTCTAAAAATAGAAATTATGACGCAATTTCTAAAATAGAAAAAAATGACGCAATTTCTAAAAATAGCACCAATGACGCAATTTCTAAAAATAGAAAAAATGACGCAATTTCTAAAAATAGAAATTATGACGCAATTTCTAAAAATAGAAAAAATGACGCAATTTCTAAAAATAGAAAAAATGACACAATCTCTAAAATTAGAAACAATGACGCATTTTCTAAAAATAGCAACAATGACGCAAATTCTAAAAATAGCACCAATGATGCAATTTCTAAAACAGAAATTATGACGCAATTTCTAAAAATAGCAAAAATGATGCAATCTCTAAAAATACTAAAATAGAAATTATGACGCAATTTCTAAAAATAGAAAAAATGACGCAATATCTAAAAATAGCACCAATGACGCAATTTCTAAAAAATAGAAATTACGACGCAATTTATAAAAAATAGAAATTATGACACAGTTTCTAAAAAATAGCACCAATGATGCAATTTCTAAAAATAGAAATTATGACGCAATTTCTAAAAATAGAAAAAATGATGCAATCTCTAAAAATACTAAAAATAGAAATTATGACGCAATTTCTAAAAATAGAAAAAATGACGCAATATCTAAAAATAGCACCAATGACGCAATTTCTAAAAATAGAAATTATGACGCAATTTCTAAAAATAGAAATTATGACACAATTTCTAAAAATAGAAAAAAATGATGCAATCTCTAAAAATACTAAAAAATAGAAATTATGACGCAATATCTAAAAATAGAAAAAAATGATGCAATTTCTAAAAATAGAAAATTAGGATGCAATTTCTAAAAATAGAAAAAAATGATGCAATCTCTAAAAATAGAAACAATGACGCATTTCTATAAAAAAAACCCAAAAAAACAATGACCCAATTTCTCTAAATAGAAACAATGACGCAATTCTATAAATAGAAACAATGACGCAATTCTATAAATAGAAACAATGACACACAATTTTAGTTATTGTTGTTGTTGTTGTAAATATATATATATAGACACACACACACCAATAAATATTTAAATATGGTCATTTACTGCACAAATCTGAGAAAATTCAGTAATTTAACCTTCAAGGTCAAGGTCATTTAAGAGCCCAAGCAAAGTTGGGTTTGATAAACAACAAGGTCTGGTCCTTAAGAATGTTCTCTAATAATATGAAGTTGATCCCTTCAATAATAGCAAAGTTACAGTCAGTGACCGCCAAAACAATGAAAATTTCAATAATTTGACCTTCAAAGACAATGTCATTAATGTGTGAAGGTCAAGGTCTTCCGGTATATCTTTAACAGTAATCTTTGAAGATTATTATGTTCAAGTTTCAGGACAATCCATTCAAAAATAACAAACTAACAGCCAATAAAAGCCAAAAAAATGAAAATTTCAATAATTTGACCTTCAAAGTCAAGGTCATTTATGAGTGAAGGTCAAGGTCTGGCTGGTTATTTTTAAGGGATATCCTTAAAGATTATTATGTTCAAGTTTGAAGACAATCCATTCAAAAATAACAAAGTTACAGCCAATAACAGCATGAACAAGCAAAAATTGGACTTTTAACCTTGAAGGTCAAGGTCATTTATGGATGAAGGTCAAGGTTAGTGTGGTCTACTGAAAGGTCTTGTCCCAAGGGTTGTTGTGGCCAAGTATGAAGACAATACACAAAGAAATAAAAAAGTTATGATCCAGGTACAAGTTTTCGGACGGCAACGGCAACGGCAACGGCAACGCCGACCTGACTGTAGCAATACCTCTATTTTTTTTTTCAAAAAAAAAAGTCGAGCTAAAAACAATACAATTTGTGAAATTAAAGATTCTCATTACTGATTTAATTATCACATTTTCCATTGTGTGTTTCAAGCTATGTCTGAAATACACCAAATATGAAATAGACCAGAACCAATTAAATAACTTTAGAAAAATCTTTAATGACTTTCATACAAGAAACATCTCATGTAAGTTTCATCAATTGTGACCCAGTAGTTTCAAAAATGACAGCTGAAACAATTTTAGACTACTGTTTTCATTTTAAGAAGGAGGCATAGTTTAAGACAGATAAAAGACAGAGTGGGCTGCACCAAAAGTTCAACACAGAAGTTCAAATAAAACAATATATTTAAAAGACAAATCTAGTCCAAGTAACTAAAAAGTCCATTTTCGATATCTATTGTAAACGTAAATTTCATTACTTGCTTGTATGTACAGCTTCAGACAGTATTGGTGAAATAAATTCCAAATTCAGGGTAACATTTAACCTGTTTACTTACTCTAATACGATAAAGTAGATACTTGTATACATTAATCACAACTTATTAGAATTTTTGGGAGCTACATGCGTTACAGTGTTATGTAATTGAAAATATTTATAGCACAAGAGTTATTCCAATAAATTTAGCAATTTGAATGGGTTGGAATCAATTTACATATACTATACTTGTATATTGTTGGAATGTAAGTTAAATGACACCATTGATACATGTTGGGTATATTGCTAGACCAATTCTAATATTTGTAAGTGCAAGGAAAGACCCAAGGTCTCTAGGTTTTTTCTTTTGTGCATGAACTTTCTTCAGAAATTAACTTCATACTTTTATCCCATGAAAACTATAGCCTTTTTCTAAGCCAGTGACTGATAAAGTAGAGTTTCGATAGTACTATTTCTGTACATTTTAAAATAAAAATGGCCTTTAAAGAAAGACAGCCTAGTGAAAAAGAAGATTTTAACACTCAAGTGTTCTAAAGTTTGTTGGGTTATTTTTTTCCATTTTTTTTTCACAAGTAATGTACAATGTATACAGATATGTTTCTCATAACAAGAGAAGCAACTCTCCTTACATTATTATTACAAGTAAGACTTCAGTTACTTCCCCTTACTCAAGAAACTATGATAATTTATATTTTATATTCTAGCATGCCATGTGTGACTATGTATTCTTGTTTTTTACTGTTTGTTATGCTGAGTTTTCATCTTTGACAAAGCCCCTTAGATCTTAAAATCACAATAGTTTGAATCAATATCAAGGAAAAGTCAATTAATAAATAAAGAAAGAACAGTAGGAAAGAAAGATGTTCAACCAAAATTCACTTTGTTGTCATTTCTTTTGTATTTTCTTTTGCCAAACAGAGGTGAAGCCACTTATTTTACATTTAATTTGTTTACTGTTATATGGCCTCATAAATCTAATCTTTTTACTCTGACGGACAAACAGGTAACTATATGCTGCATTTAATAATTTCCATGCTTGAAACATAAATCAAAATGAGCCGCTTCACGACAAAACCACGCGCAGTCTGATCAGGATCCATGCTGTTCGCTATCAGTTTCTTTACTTGTTATAGGGTCTGTAAGCGAACAGCATGGATCCTGATCAGACTGCGCGGATGTGCAGACTGGTCTGGATCCATGCTGGTCGCAAACCCATTATGTTGGTTTTGTCGTGACGCGGCTCAAATCATTTTACCTCTCTTTTGATTCTGATGATGTCCAGCATGCCAGAGTAACTTAACTGCAGTATAACATCCTGGTCGACATAGCTGTTGGCTTTCTTCATGTTGTTCGGCTTGATACACCTCACATACCTGTGCAAGAGTAACAAAATATAAAAGATATATTTAGATCAAAACATTTATCAAACTTATAATAACTTCTGTTAATAAAAATATGCTTTTATATACAGGAAATATGATACAAGGATGAAATAATTTAATCATAATTTATTACAAGTTGGTGGTAATCCTTACCATGTTGAATATCTTTAATGGAGTTGCACACCTTTTAATCCCTTAAAAATGATGAATTATTGAAAGATAGACAAGTTCATTTAATACATTTACCTTGGTAACAGTTAAGCAAAATTTCACATTTTGAATTTTCTAGAGTAGTAAATTTTCAAGTTTTGTCATTTGGGAACAAATATACATGCCCGTTAACAACTAAAGCATATGGTCAATTGTAACTTACCATGGATTTGTTGTAGAGAGGATATCAACAAGGGCAGATAACTGGTGCTTGAATGTATCACCTACAGTAGGTTTACCCCTGGTTGTCCGTGATATAGATTGACGTCCACTGAGATCCTCTAACCGTACCCCTAACAAGTCCTAGAGGTATAGTAAAATAACTTTTTTAAGGTAAACATATCTATCTTACATATAAGGCACAATCAAAAATTTCATTCCTTTTAATTTTCATAAATTCATAAATTTCCTAAAACCTTATCTGTAAAACAGTAAAATTTATTGATCATTGTTTTGCACCATCTTAGCCAGTATTTTACAAAATGAAACAACTGCAAATTAGAAAGAACATTTCATTATCACAATTTTAAGTATTATAGATCAATTTTTGCTTTTCTGTTATAAAGCAATGAAAATATTCTCTAAATTAAGAGAAATCTACAACTTGTGTTTAAATTTAAACTGAAGCTTTAAAAGTAATCAGCATCTTTACATATTTTTGGCTTGTTGGGAGACAGATATTGTTTTAGTGTCAACTGTCAAATTTCTTAAAAAAAATATGGAATGTCATTTAATATCTTCTATTGCTTTTATTCGTTACTTTATTCAACTTTATTCACAAATGTTGAATTATTTCATCAAAGCGAAAATGTGACCAAATTAAAAGCCTATTACCTGGAACCTAGTTAAATCTTTAACAAACACATTGGACGAGTTGTACATCATTTCAAACAGCTGGTCTTGTTGTACATCTTTGTTCTTGTCTAGGAAGCCGGCCACTGTGTACGTCACATTGCCAGCATAATGTTTGATCCCAAACTCGAGCTCCCACTTTCTCCGGTCCCCCTTCACATAATACTCATGTTCTTCTAGCTCCTGATGCTGTTTCAGCAGATATGATTTGTCTGTTCCCTGCAATTTCAAATCAATCATAAAAATTTGAGTATCAAAGGGAGGTTATTCATTAAATTATGACTAAAAATTTATTCTCAGTTATCTCCCTTCTTGGTTAAAGATATTTTTTACTTTCAAATCTATTTTAATGTATGTCTTATGCTTCAAAGTAATAAAATTCATAGAAATCAGATGAGGACATAAATTGTGGATCAAATTACTTGTAAATGAGGAAACAGAAAATGTTTAGTCTAAAGAAACAAGTCAAATATAGAATCTTGTAAGTAGAATAATTTTTTTTGTTTTACCTGAGGAAATCTACATTCTTCATCCAGCATTCTTAGAACACATCTTGGTCCCTTAAAAAGAAAAGAGTTTTTCCAAATTTTATAACTAAAATACCAGCTATTTGCTTATATAAAGAAAATTATCTTATACACATGTATAAGTCAGGCATGCCGGTATGCCTGACCAAACTCTACTATGAAGGTAGCTCAACCTTAATCTTTAGTGACTGAATCTAACTATTTCAGGCACCAGAGGGCACCTAAGAAAAACCACCAACCTTCCATAATCTAGCTGGATAGCTTCATCACATGTAAGAATATAAAGTCCCTGGTGATATTTGAACCCACTGCGGTGATAGGGCAAGTAGTTTGAAGTCAACAACCTTAACCACTCAGCCACAGATGTCACAGAACTCTTTTATTTCATATAAAAATACATATCAATGGCATAAAAACTGTCTGTACAATCTATAATGTTGGTGATTCAAAAATCAAAATCCCTCAAATTTGATATTAAATCCCTAAAATTATCAATGGAAAATTCTAAATTAAAAGATGGACAAGTCCATTTTAAGAAATTCAGTTGGGTACTCATTTTTCCTGTGTAAAAATAATTTCCATTAATCATAACATATAAACCTACCTTCTCTATAAGTTCTACACATTTGGTGTTATCTGTGAATGTAATATGTTCAAATGAAATCTCTTCATTGCGATACTGAAATAAACAAATTTCAAAACATTTAGGTAACATATATACGATCAGAAGAATTAATATTTAATATGAATGGTTATCTCGGTAGAAATCTTAATTTTGGATTTACCAAAAATTAATAATTGATCTTGCTTTTGTTACTTAATTTTTTTTTTCCAGATGCTGTCTAAAAATGATTATATGAATTCTAAATATGCAAAAATATTTGCATTCTATAATGTAATACAAATCATTTGAAATGTATCTATGTCCCCACAAGGAGATGAACATAAGTTATTGGGATATAGATAGGTAATCCTTAGTAACCCCAGCCGGAACCAAAAGTCTTTGCCACCAGTATAAAACCAGGCCAGTCTGAATGTCTTTGAAGTCTGACAAATTAATTTTTTTTTTAAGATCATTTATTTTGCAAATGTGTCTAGTGCAGAATCATAATTCAAAGCATAGTTTAAAGGTAGTTCCTGATTTTTCACAATATTTACCTCCCTTGCCAAAAGAGGCAGCCATTTTGGGGGTCAATATTCTATGTAACATAATTGACAAAAATATGAAAATATCAATATAAAAAGCTGATTTTGGTGAATAGTCAAATTCTTTCATACATATGAAGGAATATACAGTCAGGACTCAATACATCGGAATCCATTATACTGACAAATTCAAATAACGACAGAGAATTGGCGGGAACCAATTTTTTTCAACGTTATTATAATCCTTTATAACGGAAAATTCGTATTCCGACTCCGACACAATAAAATTGGAAACCAAACGTGTTATTTTCTATAAAATCAGTACCCGTTAAACTGACACATGGTCATTCAAGCGCGCGTATCATTGAGTCGTGAACAAAAGCCCAAGGTTGTTAAAACAGGTATTGTAGCTTGGCCAGTTGATGTTACACCTTATTTACAATACCAACATGTTGTTTAGAGTGCAATCAATTTTTAAAGGTCCTATCATTGTATGTGCTTTTTATTTTATAAAGTTTTATCAATTTTATATCAATCTTTAAACTATCTTAGTTGTTATTTTATTTTTCATAAAATTTTTGTATTATGTGTATGATAATGTGTTATAATAAAGTGAACACATAAACACAAAAATATTTTTCATTATAGATGCTTATTATAGATCTAAAAACATAATGTTCAGATACCAGTGAATAAGCATATCATTACTTGATGAATGATGAAATTCAATTTACTGACAAATTCGATATACTGACATATCCTTTGGGAACCAACAGTGTCGTTGTAATGAGTCCTCACTGTATTAAAATAGCACAAATATGTAAAAGAATTTAATCACTTTTTATGAAGATGTTAAAATTATGAAAGATTTTCATCTTTCCTGAAGCATATGATATATTGGAAATGCCACCCTCTAAATGGAAGCCAGGGGAGATAATAATTGCTATGTGAAAAGCCATGATAAATAACTTACTGTTTCTTGCTCCAATGCAAACACATAGTGGTTGAAGAATCTATGTAACTTCTCATTGGTGTAGTTTATACACAACTGTTCAAAACTGTTCACCTGAAAATACATACAAGAAAATATTGATATGTACAATATACCAGTAGAATATATTGATATGTACAATATACCAGTAGAAAATATTCATATGATATCGGTAGAAAATATTCATAATTATGTACAATATACCAGTAGAAAATCTTCATATGTATAGTACACCGGTAGAAAATATTCATATGTACAACAAATTGGCAGAAAATATTCATACAAATATATGTACAATACACCAGTAGAAAATCTTCATATGTATAATACACCAGTAGAAAATATTGATATGTACAATATACCAGTAGAATATATTGATATGTACAATACACCAGTAGAAAATATTGATATGTACAATACACCAGTAGAAAATATTGATATGTACAATATACCAGTAGAAAATATTGATATGTACAATATACCAGTAGAAAATATTGATATGTACAATATACCAGTAGAAAATATTGATATGTACAATACACCAGTAGAAAATATTGATATGTACAATATACCAGTAGAAAATATTGATATGTACAATATACCAGTAGAAAATATTGATATGTACAATATACCAGTAGAAAATATTGATATGTACAATATACCAGTAGAAAATATTCATATGTACAATATACCAGTAGAAAATATTCATAGATACAATATACCACTATCAGAAATTCCAAAGATCCAATAATAATGTAAAAATTTCAATTGCTATTTTCTAAAAAATCTGGAAACAAAGTGACCACTCGGAAGCATTAATCACAACAAAATCACGTAAGAATTGCAGACTCGGTTTGATTGAGTCTGTACATGTGGGATAATGAATGAGTGCAACATCCCTCATGCCCCCTAGCACCGGCTTGAGCAGTACTCAATTCTCTACACTTAATAGTGCTGGCATAAATGACAATAATAATGCTAAGCCATGAATCTTAGATACTGAAACTTCACTTTATATTAAAGGGAAGTAAAATGCACCTATTACATGCATTGTTATTTACCAACAATTGTCTCCCTTCTATAAAGAACTGGAGCGAGTTAGGTGACAACTGACAACATAGGCGCTCAACACAACTTTTCCTTCACTATGATTTTTAGAGTTATGTGTCTAATGCCTTTCATCTACCACCAAAACTTTCAAATGATTTTAAAAAGGATGGTGACAAAAACTTGTTGAAAATCAGTTCAGTAACTTATATACATATGTATACATTATTCATATCAAAGGGAGCTAACAAATATACAAAATATTTTAACAAAACAAGATTTATCTCCCTTCAATGAAAGCTGGGGAATAAAGAAAAGCAATCTACTAATGTTTTTATGGTATATAAATGACAGATTTATGAGGACTTAACACCACTTGTTATATCAATGACATCTAGGCCATCTAACATTCCACATATCAAAAAAAGCAAACAAAAAACAATAGTGTCCTAAAAGAGCTATAATATGACATTGCAAAAACAGACATATTTTTGTTATATCAATATTGCAATACAATATAAATCATACTAACTGAAAGTGATTTGCCTTTGTCACTAATACAGAGACAGGCTAATCTGCACTTCCATACAGGCTGACCATGTACTATACTGTTGGTAGCTTAATTTTTGAATTTTGATATTGAAATACCTTAATTTTCAAATGGACTGTTCCAAATTAAAAAAAAAGGCAAATCCATTTTAATTAAGGGATAAATACTAAATTTTCAAGAATGACTTGCCTATGGCACCAGAATAAAACATCTGACTTATTCACTATACCTTTGGCTATTGAATAGAAGTACATGTTCATGTATTTATATATGAAAGTAACCAAATAGTGAATGATTGTATATTGCAAAAATTATGCTATATGCCACCAATATAAAGTCAAGGCCACTCTATTAAAAGCTTTTTCAAACAGTCTGACCAAAATTTATAGTGTCGTCTGCTTAAGTATTTTGAAAATCCCTCACAATAAGAATAGACCAATCCGAGGAATCAAAGCCGGACAAGTCCATTGTAAAAATTAGTAGGGTAAGGTTGGTTACACACTGCTTTTCCAATATACTGGGTGCCAGATGCACTCCAGACGTGACTTTTTAATATTCATCATCTGCAGAATTATAATGTAATAATAAAATGTTACTACCCAAGTTATAATTCAATTTTAATTCAAAACTGGGACCAGTCTGTCTAAGGATGTAACATTGCCATATTAAATATCAAGGATACAAATAGATTCTGCCAAAGCTATAAAAAATTCAAATTTGTTAGAAAATAGACAAATATAAATTGTATCTATTATTCTGCCTTAATTTCAAGCTTGCATAGACTTCAGAGTGCGGTAGCAAATTTTATGATCACAAAAACAAGTATTTCTGTGTTTAATATTTTTTGGTACAGAATTCCTGAAAAAAATCTTTGGCCAACCATAAATCAGAAATAAACTTGGTTAATTGAACATGTGAAAACAATAGCTACCAGTTTGGCAATATGTTCAGTCCTTGATCTGCATTTTACACAAATTTCCTAAATTAAGAAAGGAATATATTTATGGCCCTTGGAGTGATTTACAATTATGATCCAAAAGACATAATATGATGTTTTAAGTAAATTCTTTCTAAGGCTAATGAACTATGAAATTGCGAGCACAACCTAAACCAAGTGCAACAGGCATCTGTCAAATAACAGAGAAGAAATAGCTGAACTTTTCTTTGAATAGTTGAGTCAAAAATCCCTAAAATTTTCAACAAGTAGCTATAACATTGATCCCCATCCAGATTATGGAATACCATACAATCATGGATCTGACGTATTCCAATTTTCATTTCCCCTCCCTTACACAACAACGTCCCATAAATAACTTGTTCATGATGACATCCATCAACTATTGCCGATAATTTTCTATTTGCACAAAATATGATGCAAAACTTTGATAAGACCAATGACTCATATTTTAACTCTGCAACTTAGTTTCAAATCAATGCGTTCGTTTAACCCTAACCGTTGCTAAATTTATATAACAGACCCAGTACTGCTTTGAATTTGGTCCTCTCCTTTATAAAGGACATTATGACATAGCCTGAGATGTTTTTTGCTCCCAAAATTCTAAAATTAAGTTATCAAAGAGTTTGGTCAGGCAGCAGTTAAATGCCCTAGTGGCTCTCATGATAGCTTTTCACTACCAGGTACTTACTAAATCTAAGGGTTGATGTAATGGAGAAAATTGAATACATTCATAAAATAATTTAAACTAAAACTGCTGAACATATTTTCTCATTACAAAAAAATATTCAAATTTATGTTTCTTTTTTCTTCTTTTTTTTTGAGGGGGGGGGGGTTATAACAAAACAAATAATCAGTTATCATAATCATAATATTATTATATATCATAATTTACCATTGTACAATAAATACAATGTACATGTATATTTATTGAACATTTTTATATTTGTGAGACAATCCTGCCTTAAGTAACATCACTTAACTTGTCAGTAAAATTACAGTATTATCAAAATATCAAATTATCATTTAATGCAAGAACCATGTTCTAAAATATTATTAAATTCCATTTTTAAAATATTTTATTGTTCCAAATTTATTTAAATTGGAGAAATCATCAGTTGATGAAAATAATTGGGTTATAAAATTACTGTTTCAACTAAGTGGCTACATGGAATATTATAACTTCCATATTTAATTTACCAAGTACATTATTAAGCTTTGTATTTTGCAACATATTTTCTTCTCTTTTTTTTCATTTATCATTTGTCCAATTTACTAGAGGCCCCTGACCAAGACAAAATTTATTAAATGTTTAACATTTAGCATAAAGTTAACACTTGCAAGTGTAGAATTGCACAGACTTTTAGACATAAAAAATTTCATCTATTATAACAAGACCTGAGCAAAAGACCACCTGTATGTTTATAATATTATTAGGACATATAAAACAGTGCCAAATTTCCATTTCTGACAGCATACACAATATTTGCAAAATAACCAAGTTTAAAAGAATCATCTCTATATGTAGAGACCACAAGAAAAATAAGGCAAAAACTATAATTATCAAATAATTCCATTTTTTCTAAACTGACAACAAACATTGCAAAAACCTGCTCTGAAAGACCATCTGTCAAAAAAGACAACTTTTTTCATTCCCAATAATTGTTGGGTGTGTTCTTTTCAAAAAGATTTGCCTATTTAATAAAAACTGATTTATCTGCATCTACCAGTAGATCATTTGTGACGCATCACGACAAAACCAACATAGTGGGTAAGTTGCAACCAGCATGGATCCAGACCAGCCTGCGCATCCACGCAGTCTGATCAGGATCCATGCTGTTCGCTGTCAGTTTTTCCACTTGTAATAGAGTTGGTATGCGCAGGCTGGTCTGGATCCATGCTGGTCGCAAACCCATTATGTTGGTTTTGTCGTGACACGGCTCATTTATATTTACAATTATAACCTTTAACCTATGACTGAATTAAATCTTAACGCAAATTAATCAATACAACTTTGCATTAATTAATGATTAATCATATAAATTTGGCTACTTTTAAGTGATCAATATCTTCATGGTAAATATCAATAAAACAATTAATTATATTTCATCATTGTGTTGATTTATTATTATTATTATTGTAATATGTTAATGACACTTTAAGCAGTGCAATAAGAAATTACCACAGGCTATTTACAATAAAATAAATCATTTAAAAATACTCATTTGAGTATATTAGTTGTGCTATTGTGTCTATATTGCATTTTTTTTACACAAGAATGTTAAGTATATCCTTTTTACAACCACAGAGGTTATAATATACTATCAGACCATAAATAACCCAAGTGCTTCAAACTCAAGAATCCCCAATTATAGTTGCCTTACTTGCCTTTAATGCACACAAAAACAAAAAAACATCTTAGCAATTGTTTATGAATACTAAAAGATAAATCACTTGTTCTAACTTATAGCCCCACCTTGCCTAATAATTGATATGAGTGCATTTTTAATTTAGGTCTTTGGA